GTACAATTAGCTGAGTTAATCCGGCCCTGCAAGTAGGGGATGTGGGTTCATTGTTTAGGACAGGTTTTGGCGCAGGACGGTGAGAGAACGGGAATATTTCACTTTGGTCCATTGTGTTAGCCCTAGAGTGAAGAGAAACCACCCTCTCTGAAATGCGCTATTCTTGTTTCCATAGCAGCAGACGGCCTCAGACTTTGTGGCGGGGGGGGGAATTTCTTACCATATACAAACTCTATAAGCCCATTTGTTTGGTTTAGAATACATATAATTTTTGCGTTCTTTTAATTCAACTTTTAACGAAAAAAATAACAAATGAATTTGGAAGAACTCGCAAGCATGCTATAACACTACCCAAAAAATGAAAATCTGCAACTTTTTACACAATTATAGCCAAATATGGGATAGCGTGTTAAACCTTACTCTTAATTTATGTTGCAATATTAATTTCGTAAATTTGTCTTCGGCTCACAACCTGTTAGAATTTATAAATTACAGAAAACTCGCGTAAATGTATCGCGTAAATTTAATAAAAAAACCATAATAATAAAACTTCCTAGAATATTAAGCCTGTTCACACATAAGCCTAACGTAAGCGGAGGGATACACAGGAAGTTTTCTAAATGTCTTCTTGTTTCAGGAAGTTTGTTATCGTTTACATTCAGTTAACCATCCATAAGAAACATCTGTAATATGAAAATAAAACATATTTTTAAAAAATAAAATGATAAATATTCCGTGACCATATATATCTGGTGCTTTTAAATTAAAAAGGAAAATTAATATAGCAGTATAATAGGGTTTTGTGGTGTTACTTGTATCAAATTTCACATAGTATATTTAAGACATTTTCTAGCAAAGGCGGAGCTCAAATTCGCACTCAAAAACTGTGTGCTTAAGTTTTTATGTTAGGGAAAGTAGCAAAGGAATTTTCCTCTATTTTATTATATTTGAGGGGAAAAGGGAAGTCCCAAGGATTACTATTGGTTTATGAAAGAGATCGAGCGTTTCCCACACAGAGCAAAGGGAAATATGTCCGTGCTATCGTCAGGCTAGCCGTGGGAAGTCTTTGTGTTTTTTCTTCTTCATGTAACGCAAATCTGGGTTAGTTCCATCAAAAAGCCCTCCACGAAGGCTAATTTTATCCAATACTTAATCAGTTTTCTCGATTGTGTTCAAAATTACAAGGCTCGATTGTGTTCAAAATTAGTGCTATCGTCAGGCTAGCCGTGGGAAGTCTTTGTGTTTTTTCTTCTTCATGTAACGCAAATCCGAGTTAGTTCCATCAAAAAGCCCTCCACGAAGGCTAATTTTATCCAATACTTAATCCGTTTTCTCGATTGTGTTCAAAATTAGTGCTATCGTCAGGCTAGCCGTGGGAAGTCTTTGTGCTTTTTCTTCTTCATGTAACGCACATCCGGGTTAGTTCCATCAAACAGCCCTCCACGAAGGCTAATTTTATCCAATACTTAATCCGTTTTCTCGATTGTGTTCAAAATTACAAGGCTCGATTGTGTTCAAAACTAGTGCTATCGTCAGGCTAGCCATGGGAAGTTTTTGTGTTTTTTCTTCTTCATGTAACGCAAATCCGGGTTAGTTCCATTAAAAAGCCCTCCACGAAGGCTAATTTTATCCAATACTTAATCCGTTTTCTCGATTGTGTTCAAAATTACAAGGCTCGATTGTGTTCAAAATTAGTGCTATCGTCAGGCTAGCCGTGGGAAGTTTTTGTGTTTTTTCTTCTTCATGTAACGCAAATCCGGATTAGTTCCATTAAACAGCCCTCCACGAAGGCTAATTTTATCCAATACTTAATCCGTTTTCTCGATTGTGTTCAAAATTACAAGGCTCGATTGTGTTCAAAATTAGTGCTATCGTCAGGCTAGCCGTGGGAAGTCTTTGTGTTTTTTCTTCTTCATGTAACACAAATACGGGTTAGTTCCATCAAAAAGCCCTCCACGAAGGCAAATTTTATCCAATGCTTAATCCGTTTTCTCGATTGTGTTCAAAATTACAAGGCTCGATTGTGTTCAAAAGTAGTGCTATCGTCAGGCTAGCCGTGGGAAGTCTTTGTGTTTTTTCTTCTTCATGTAACGCAAATCCGGGTTAGTTCCATCAAAAAGCCCTCCACGAAGGCAAATTTTATTCAATACTTAATCCAAAAGTTCTTTTGTTTTCTCGATTGTGTTCAAAATTACAAGGCTCGATTGTGCTCAAAATTAGTGCTATCGTCAGGCTAGCAGTGGGAAGTTTTTGTGTTTTTTCTTCTTCATGTAACGCAAATCCGGGTTAGTTCCAGCAAAAAGTCCTCCACGAAGGCAAATTTTATCCAATACTTAATCCAAAAGTTCTTTTGTTTTCTCGATTGTGTTCAAAATTACAAGGCTACGGAGTTAAAGATTGGTAGTCGTAAACTCAAAACTGGGTCGACTGCTCAACGTAACTTATAAAATAAAATAAAAATCTATAATCGAAGTTGATGTTTTTAACTAATTTTTACACGATACCTTGAACATGAAATAAATATGTTATATTTGAGAAAAATATTTTATGCGGTGATGACTTAACTTTGTTATTAGATAAAAAAGATCTTTTGAAAGAAGTTTAAAATATTTAATCGATAATCATTCTGAAACGGTTTTAAACACAGAGGTTTACTAACCACAATTTAGATTCAAAAATTCACCAAATTTTAGTATGTAGGCAGAAATAAATATAAAAAAAAGAATGTTTTGTTTATTTACAAATTACTTTGTCTGAATTATTGTTAGAAAGAGAATTTGTCATTGCATTGGTATTATTTAAATCTTTTGCTAAGATAACTCAGTTTCACTTACATAATACCTGAATAACCTTCGAAACAAAATTGTAATCATTATGTTTTGGTCGAATATAATTAAGGAAGTTTATGCATATAAAGGAATATAAGATCATTTAAATTTGTCGTTTTATGATCTGATAAAACGCTGAACGATTTCGAAGAGATTAACTATAGATACACAAGGGGAAAACGTAATACAATTTAAGGAATTTGCAATTTCATAAATTGAATCTTTATATTATGATAATTTACCATCGGATGGTTCTATCAACAATATAAAAATATAATAAATACCTTCGAAGTGTTGGAGTGACGTGCGATGCAATCAAAAACTATTCTCGTAACGCGTACGAGTATCTTTACAACAATTAAGAGAAAAAAAAATTCCAGTTGACCGTCCGCTAGTTTAAATAGCTTTCAACGATATTATATTGTGTTTTTTGGTATTAAATTGCATAGGTAAACATATTTCGCAGAATATTTTATTATTAGAATAATTTATTACTTTTTTCAGAATAATAGAATAATTTATTATTTTTTTCAGAACAACAGAATAAAAATTTTTTTCAGAACAATAGAATAATTTATTGTTTTCTTTCATAAATAAATATTTAATTATTAATAATATGAGACGTCTTTTTACAAAAACGTAGTGCTTGGCTAAGTAATTGTGCTTGATAATAATTTTAAAGGTACTTTATTAACATCGCACTAGGGCTGCACAATGGGCTATTGGCGGTGGTCTTGGAAACATCCCTGAGAATGATCTGAAGACATGCCATCACAATTTTGATCCTTTGCAAAGGGCATGGCTCCCTTGCTTTAGTAGCCCGACGACCTTCCGCGTGAAGTAGAGCACTTAACGGTAGGACAGTTTAACGAGATCAAATTCCCCCCACTCTCGGTCCCTATGCAGGCTGATCAAAGTGTTAACCCACCCGCTTACTGACCGCAG